AGGCGGAAGACTTTCGAAACGGCGTCCTCTACATTTGTAGGTTTCTACAATAGGCAGATGCTGTCCATTTGAAACTTAGATTCACAACTATTACCTTAAACACCTTGTCCACATGTTCCTTGGTCGTATGGTCGTCAACAACTGAATCGACTGCTCTTCCCATCTGATCATAGATGGAAGTGACAATCCTGAAGAGCTCGTCCTTGGTGATGTAGCCGTCACCATTGATGTCGTATAAATTAAAGGTCCATTTAAGCTTTTCTTGAACAGACCCACGAGACAAGGCGGATAATCCTACGACAAAGTCCTGGTGTAAATGAAAAATAAAATAAAAATTACACGTATTAAAATAGTAACGAAACTGATCATCTGGAACATAGGGTGAAAAAACTGGGGAGGGGGGAGTATTCATGCAGTTACGTAAGAAGACATACCAACCGCTAGACGTAGCGTCTGTGAATTTCTATGCGATTGGGATATTGAAACGGACGCTGGGAAACCGTCGTCCTCATGCACTAAATGAATTAGGAAAAGTAAACAGGGAGGAGTGATGTGCTTTGGACATGAAAGTCTTATGGCGGAAATTTTTGCAATGGAAACTATGCTGCAGAGATATTGTCAAGATTCACGGTCACCAGATAGAGCATGACTGGACGGTGGAATGTGGATTGTAACGACGTGGTGAGGCTCCAAACACGTTTTTCTATAATTTACCACCATGTGTAATGTATATATTAAACAAATGGTGAGTTTTATACGAACTTCCTGTGGAATGACTGTTAATGTGTCTCTGCATTTAAAAAGCACTATCCTATATTCTTCTTTGTTGTTGTTGTCGTGCTGGGCGGTAGTACTTCGTGTCTCAGTGAGAGCCTAATTATTTCTTGGCTTGTGAAATTCCATATTTAGTCTTATTCGTTTTATTCATTTGTTGTGCGTTTCGTGCAAATTAGATTACTTGATTAGATTAGATTATCTTATGTGATAGTTAACCATAAAAGGAATCAGCTTAATTATTAAGGGTTATATTTTTAGTGTCTGTAATGGGATATTGGGTATTTGTAACCGTTTCATACTAAAATAAAACATGTATAACTTGACTTAAAATGAATATTCAATACTTTAATTAGGAATAACATTATCTTGAACTACATGAAATATCATAAAGAATGTATACAAAATTACAGAAGCTGGAATAAAAAACCTACAGCAAATCTCTATAACAATATCTATTACAAAATTAGTTAAAGTAAATGTTATGGTTGATACTAACGGAATCTTAATAGATTTACATTAGAAATAACGTAAACTTACCGTAAATGTTATTGAGCCAGTGTGATCTTGGTCAAACGTGTTAAAAACGTAGTGAGCATACTGACTAGTGTCGCCCCCTCGTGGAAAATATTGAGCGTAAATTCCCTTAAAGGTTTCTTCTTTCACCATTCCTGACGGACATTCCTGAAGTATTAGATGGGTGTTACTAAAGCAGCAAGTCTGACTCAACCATGCCGACAGAAATATAGGATGGAGGCTGTTACTATTTACAACATCTTCACAAACATGCAAGTTTCACAAATAAAGAATGGCTCATGTATACAGAGAGACAGGTGGAAGGACTGATTAAGAAAACAGGAAATAAACATGGATAAATAGGTAATTTTCAAATTGTAAGTAGAAAGCTAGATAGGTATATCATTACTCGTCAACTCATCATATCCGTTTCATCAAAGAAAAGTTACTTTCAGGCATTATGTTTTATTCAACGTGACTAAAAAATAAACAAGTTAAGTATCATTTTATAAACAAATTAAGTTTTCTGTTGGAAATCTTCTGTTGAAAACGCTTGTTGCTTTATCTACTGAAACGGCTAGCGCGTAATAAATGGAAGAGCAAATTAACGAGAAGATCCAATCATCAAAAAGGAGATACAAAAGATGAATCAAATTCCATACATTATATAGTTAATAACTTTAACACACACGTCTGTAACAAAATTAATAATTGCCGGTTGTTCCAAAGACTAGACTTTCTGTTCTTTTTAATTAAAGATAATTAATGAAGGCTTTTCACTGCCAATTTTCTGGTGGGTTATTTTAAGATAAAGCTCTTTGGTGTTAACAGCCATCAGTTAATTTTCCTATAACAGTAGTCTTAACGTTGAATAGCTAATGTGATAGGACCGTTTAAGACCGTTAAGAAGAACATGTCTAATAATAGCACAATAATCACTGAAAACTGGGGTTGGCAAACAGTAACGGCAGCAAAAAGAAACTAGTTGGGGCAATCTAATAACAAACAATGACTATATCTTATGCTTCTACTAGGATACTAATAGGAAAGTTAGGTCTTCATTATGGCTGAATGGAAGTGAATTTGAAGCTCTAATTTATATACAGACTTCAAGGAACAAGTTCAAGTATGGCCTTTTATCTATTCATTTCAGAATAACATGATATAATGAGAATGTTTTCAAAGCAATTTCGTAGATGAGAAAAAATTTTCATCATCAGTCAGGTTATATTAGATATAAGTCAGTTTTGTTCTATAGAAACGTATGTTTATCATAATGTTTTCGCAGTACATTCTGCAATGTTTTGCTATCAATACTGAAACTAACACAGTCTTCCTTTAACTCATAACATTTTTAGGTTTTTTGTTTGTTTTTTCATAACGTTTCTCTAGATTTGTCTTTGTATATTTATAATTGTAGGCAACTTGGTTGTCAGCAGAACTAAATGATTAGACAGCAAATAGTCATGGTTCCATTAACAGGACACTGTGTTGAACTAAATAGACTAAAATTTCCAAAATATCACTATTATATAACAGAAATAACACATTGCTAGTATATGAGATAACAGATACACCAATGCTGCTGTTATATCACAATGATTAAACATAATTTATATCCAACAAAACGACAGATAACACATTGTTAGTATATAAGATAACAGACAAAACCTTGTTGCTGTGATGTAACCGATAAAACATCGTTACCAAATATAACAGATAAATTACAACTATTATTAGATAACATGAATAATTTATCACTACTATTAGAAGATATAACATATAAAGCACCATTACTACTAATAACAACAATCAAAGTTTAAAAACAAGTGCACCTCCAGAGCGCCTTTGCTGGTGAACCCAAATATTATCAATTCCATTTTTAAGTCTAACGTGAGTCTTAAATCATCTTCCAGACTGAGAATACATGGCATTATATATATGAAAAACAATAATGCTATTTTTCTAAAGGTGAAAATGCTACCCATGATTGACGGTCAATCTCTATGCAAAATAAGGGATGTTTTGTCTTTGAGGCTTGCTAGTAGAAGTGATCACTGTTTATTTCTCTGCAGTATGATCTACGTTAATAGAATCTCTCCCGCGAGAAAGTGTATGTGATACCCTAGCTAAATGGCCTAGTTCCGTGTCTAGGGTGGGAAGAATTAAGTGGCTTCTTTGACCAATATTCTGTATGATGACTACATTTTCAATACGAAGAGAAATGTCAAAAAACTATATTATATAAGGGAGTAGGAAACATATAGTATGCCTGTATACTACAGTGATAGGGGGTTGAGTATGAGGCAGCTATAACAGAACCTTTAACGAAAAACATAGAACCGTTTAAACTCGAATGACAAATTTACTGTCAGATAATTTTCAAACCATGAAATAATAAACCAACACATATGTGGAAATAAACTTAAGATTTTAATGTCTTACCTGTTTAAAACCTCGATACATGAGCTGCAACTCCCTTTTATTAAATTTAGTGATTTCGCACAAATTGTCCAGAGCTTCAGGAGTATATCTGTCTTGTTGAACGTCAACTTCCTCGTATTCACTGTCTGTAGTGATAAATAGGAAATAAACAGTCTAGTATGTGATAAGAAGAACCACTTGATTCTCTAATTACTACACGAACGATCAATTAGTAATCTTTCTGTTGTTATTTAAGAAATAAAATTATTCTCAGGTAGTAACTTTAAAAGCTTCTATTATTTTTTAAACTTCCACCTGCGGACGTGTTCTTCAGCTAATATAAATATAATAAGTCCATTAACTGAATCTTAAAAATACTTTTATTTTGTTTCCGCGTGTGTGTGTTTTCCACGGATGCTTCGTTTTTAAAGATACTTGCTTACTTTTCAAACATATTTTAGGGTAAATATTGTTAATTTGAAGGTAGAACAGTAAAGAACAATTTAAGAGAAAGAGTTTTATAGCTCAGGCCAATATAATAAATTCATCCTTTTTTTGGCATTCAATGTTAACTACTCTATCGTACTAAATACCCAATAATCATAAGGACGATTTTGTTTGAAAAGATAGATAAAATGATACGATTTAATTAGACATACAAGTGAAAGGTCAAAGTGACAGGAAAACCAAACTACTTACTTGAAGGGTCAGGATTACAAAAGCATTAAATTATATAGGCCATACGCTGTGACTACAGTATAGGTCACAGTATACATGACTACAGTATAGGTCATAGTGTACATGACTACAGTATAGGTCATAGTATATATGACTACAGTATAGGTCACAGTATACATGACTACAGTATAGGTCATAGTATACATGACTAAAGTATAGATCATAGTATACATGATTACAGTATAGGTCACAGTATACATGATTACAGTATACATGACTAAAGTATAGGTCAATAGTATACATGACTACAGTATAGATCACAGTATACATGACTAAAGTATAGGTCAGTAGTATACATGACTAAAGTATAGGTCAATAGTATACATGACTGCAGTATAGATCATAGTATACATGATTACAGTATAGGTCACAGTATACATGATTACAGTATAGATGATTACAGAACACATGACTAAAGTATAGGTCAATAGTATACATGACTACAGTATAGGTCACAGTATACATGATTACAGTATACATGACTAAAGTATAGGTCAATAGTATATATGACTACAGTATAGATCATAGTATACATGATTACAGTATAGGTCACAGTATACATGATTACAGTATAGGTCACAGTATAGATGATTACAGAACACATCACTAAAGTATAGGTCAATAGTATACATGACTACAGTATAGGTCACAGTATACATGACTAAAGTATAGGTCAATAGTATACATGACTACAATATAGGTCACAGTATACATCACTAAAGTATAGGTCAGTAGTATACATGACTAAAGTATAGGTCAGTAGTATACATGACTACAGTATAGGTCACAGTATACATTATTACAGTATAGGTCACATATAGTTTTATATGATTACAGTTTTAGTAAAAATCAAAATATTTAGATCAGGTATTAATAAGTTGTCAAAAACACAATACGATAACTGACATGGTATATTTCAATTAATCTTGGCAGAAACATTAAAAGTCATTACGAGAGAATTTTTTTGTGTAAATAGGTTAAAGGTAAAAAATATTGTTTAGATTCAGTTAGAACCAACTCTCAAATCGTGGCCTAACGCACCAGAACGGCCTTTTTGACAGTAAATAAAATATTTTTACAGCAAACTGTGTTCAAATTAGACCACACCATGCGAAAATGTATGAAAAAAATATCGCCGTAGCGGCGCCGCTTCGTTCTGAGACGTTGCGAAAGCAAAGTCAAGCTGCTTGAGCATAAAATGAAATGAAATATTAGGTATTTCTTTATCGAATCAGTGGTGTAGGAAGGAGTTTCAAAGTGGGGGTGCTCGGCTATACATGCAGATTTTACAATAAGAGATTGATAGTATAAGAAGCTGTGCTAAAACCAACTCCCGTTCATTCTAGGGAGGTCTGGGTGCATGCCTCCCCCCCTCATATAAAATTAATATAATAATATAATTAACGGTTACTATATAAGTCAAATATGTAAAAATGGGGGTGTTACAATATCCCCGTTTCCGACGCCTCTACGAATTACTGCATATGGTTCAAATTATATTTCCCTTTAGACTCGATAAACACCCGGATGTGAAAAAAAAGCGAATAAATAAATAAACAATCCTATTATTTTAAATGAGCTAATAATACTTTCCGTTGGTGAAGCAAATGGCAAATCTGTACTGTATATACTTTTTTTTTTTGTCTCTGCTCTATTTGCACCCAAAGTGCATTAGGTTGTTATTAATTACTCCCTTGTAGCTGATTTTTTTGTGAGAATGACATTGGATAAATTACTGAAAATTGTATTCTGAACAGAAACCATAGTTTTTCAATGTCACTAGTTTTTAAAGATTTTTGTAAGTTTTTAATTTTTCGTTTTAGTCGTCATTTTAGTTTTCATTTACTGGCACAGGAACTTGCTTTTTTTGGCAACTAAGTGTTGTCTAAAGATACATTACGTTCTGGTACCTGATTTTTTGTCACTCGAACACTGGTTATAACTGACCATTTCGTTTTTAGATTATGAACTGAAACCATGCAATCTTGAAATCCGTTAAGCAAAATAATAATTTTTCTAAGATTCCATAACATAACAAACTTATACTAATTACATAACACCTAACGAAGATATAACATTTTTGTTACATCTACCTGTAGAAGGACTGACTTATGTTTCGAAACTCCTACACAAATTATTATTGGGAGACTTGATTCCAGTTAGCTTTCTAGCACCGAGTTCACATACACACCGTGTGTAAGAAATGGAATCTACATTACAAAGTCTTGCGTTAAAATATGCTGCAAAGTCCAACAAAAGTTGACTGAACTGCATTTGAAAAAGTTCTTATATCTGTAATATATGCATAGTTCCTTAGTTTCGATCAGCCATCTTTGAAAGGGGAATATCAGTAGGTTTCCATATCAAATTAAATGTCTCACAACTCTTGAAATACATAAACACACATACATAACTCTATACAAAGCTGTAAAATAATTTAGCAAAAACATTGATAAAATAAAAGACGAAATACGTTTATGTAAAGAACGATACAACCGAACAGAACAAACAAAAAACACGTAATTCTAGCCTTCTGATATTGTGTAACAACCAGATTACCAAACATACCACGTCAGACATATCCTTTTCTATTGATATGTAAACTTTTTTTATCGTATTACAAACTGCAAGAATTATATAGAAAACATACATATATATAAAATCTATATTTCATGCTTCACCTATATACCAAGTTTTAAATGTACAATATTTTGGTGAAACTATAATAACTACGTTATAATATGAAAATGGTCAAAATTTGTTATATACATCAAAAATGTATAGGCAAAATATCAGCACTATATAACAATGGTGAAAGAATATAAAAAGCAAATTAAATTCTCAAAATTGAAATTTAAGACAAAGATTGAAAACGCATTTTATAACTCAAAATATTAGAAAGTTTAGCAGAAGCAGAATCTAGACAATAATATGGAAAATGATCTACCATCGTGCCAACAACAAAGACACAAAACAAGATAATTAAAATATACACCATTTATCAGAACAATATAAAAGGTAAACATTTTAAAGAAAATGTCAGTGGCAATAGCTCTTAAAAGCGTCGAGGATATCATGTCTATATAACATGGGCCCGGCATGGCCAGGTGGTTATCGCGATCTACTCGCAGTCTGAGGGTGGCGAATTCGAATCCCCGTCCCACCAAACATGCTCGCCCTTTCAGCCGTGGGGGCGTTATAATGCTACGGTCAATCCCACTATTCGTTGGTTAAAAGAGTAGCCCAAGAGTGGGCGGTGGGTGGTGATGACTAGCTGTCTTCCCTCTAGTCTTTCATTGCTAAATTAGGGACGACTAGCGCAAATAGGCCTCGTGTAGCTTTGCGCGAAGTTCAAAAACAAACAAATAAACAGTCTACAGTAAATCTTCCAATGGGCAGAAAGGTCCATAGAGTATAATACAGAATTTCAGAAATTAAAAACAAACTTTATAACATGATCCAAAAACGCAGATGAAAAACAAGACAGACAGCAAGGGAAATCAAATAGACGTCAGGGTTTGAGTGCTAGAACCCACGATGTCCGTAACCCCATTGCCACTAACCGTTCGCAGTTGGGGATGGGTATGATGGTTATACCTTAAAATCATTGATTTAATGTGATTAAAGTGATACTTAACTCAGAATTATAGTACAAATATCTGTTAATAATATACAAAAAGTCACATTCTACAATTGTGAAACACTCAACCTTCACCCATAAACTATTATTACAAGATAATCAATCCTTTATTTACATAATTCAGTAATAACTGAGCAACCATCTTCCTTCCTTAATAATATCTGCTTGAAGTTGACCTCTCCAGGCCAGATATACCATATGTAGTAATAATTCTAATACATTCCTCTTTTAAAGATTTGTTAATTGCATTATGCAAGTCATATTTGGTCAATAACTTTGTTTGAGATATTTTTGTCCCAACCTCTAACTATTTGTTATGAATATTTATGAGTTTTGACATTCGAAATTTATTATCAATTAAAAAGAAAAAAAGTAGAAAGGTTAATAATTTGTGTATGCGAATAAGTCGCTCTTAAAAAACAGATATAATGGTAAGTATTGTAGAAGTAAAATGATGTTTTAATAGCCTAATGAGCTAATGCAGTATTTACTTCGATACTCTGTAAACCAACTGGAACGCTGAATGTAAAATTTAACTGCTGAATTATAACGTACAAACAGCTCGAAAGAGCGATCTCTAACGAAACTAATGGGCTTTGTTACAAGTTCTGACAATTAAGTTGAGAGCCTTAATTCAGTATAATTAATTGCCTTTTCTGAAAATTAACTTGCAACTTCTGTCTAAAATACTTACTTCCATATAAGTTTCATAATTAAAGTATGTCCTTATGATTTATAATAATATTATTATAAAACAATTCATACTTT